AAAAAAAATTAACAACTAAAAAACAAAAAAAAGTTGTTACGTTTTGGTTAGCTTTGGTAGAAAATTTTGGTAGGGAAAAAAATTTGTCTGTGGCAACACTGATTTATGCCCACTGTGCGTTCCACCTTTGCATTTTGTTTTGTGTACGATATTCGATTTATCGTCAGCAGCAGCAGCAGCAGCAACAAAGCATGCTGACAAGCGACGATGGCGGCAGCAGCTGAGGCAGCAGTGTTTGGCTACACCCCGATTGCCCTTTTACTTGGACGCGATTGACTTTTCCCCTTTAATTTATTTACGGTACATGATTTTCATGTGTGTATTCTTTTTTATGCCAGATTTCGCATAAATATGCATATGTATGTATGTTACTAATAAACATTTAACAATAGTTTATGCAACATATTTTTTTTCTGTTTCTTACCTCTTTTTGCTGCTTGTCGTTTATTCTTTCTTGTTTCGTTACGTTTTTGTGCTGCTGTTCGTTAACACATTTCCCCTGCAACATACGCAGACACTCCTTTTTAAACGCGCCTCACTTTTTTTGCTCTCACCAGATAATTAAAATTTGATTAAATAATTTCTGTATTTTTATAATAGAAAAATATTTCCCGTTTGTAAATGCATATATGTATGTATGTACACTTTGCTAGCTAATCTTTCGCTAGCTCTTTTTTTTCCCATTGAACGCTCAATTCTCTTGTTTTGCCTTGCACAATTTCTTTTCCTTTTTGGCAACGGCAATTATGCTTTTTGCAATGCGATCGCTACACACTTGATTTCTAAATTTAATCTTAACACTGAAAATTGCACAAATCAATCACAGAATGTGGCAATTTCATTAGAAAAAATGAAAGTCTAATAAAAGCTGAGAGACATCCGAGAAAACCAAAAAATATCGAGGCAATCAAAAAATTTCCGCGAACGCGTCATACAGAGCAAGCTTCGGTGTTGTTGTTTAATTTCGTTAACACTTTGCACAATTTTTCAGCTGCTAGAATTTACCATTTATTTATTCAACACTGTTTTATTCCTACTTTTACTTTGTTAAATAAAATGCTTTGCTAGCTGAACACAACAAAAGTTCTACACTTCCAATTCGGATTGACTCGACCGCAAATCTGTTCGTACAAATGCACAACAAAATCAAGTTTGCAGCAGAAAACAGTGTTGCTGTACCCTTGCTAAAGTACCTCAAATAGGGCGTTACCAAGTTACTGTATGTTGCAAGAGTTTTATTGGTTTTAAAAGCATTTAAAATGTTGAAATAATTTTAAATCAAAAGTTTTAATACTATGTTGTTTTATACAGCTTCTTGCTTAAACGCTTTAATGTCTTAATATTTTCGAAAATATTAAAATTGTGCCCTTACGGCCAAAAAAGCTGCAACACTGATATGTGCTGGTGTTGCCATAAATCACAAATATTTACGGGCGCCACCTAGTGGTGAGTAGTTCATTTGCTACGGTGGGCTGGTTTTGAACTACTCTTTGAACTGTTGAATGCCCTGGCCTAGCGAAGAGAAATGTGAATTTCCGCCCGGTAGGACTCGGTTCGATTCCTAGCCCGAGCAAGATCTTAAAAGTTGTTTCGTAATTGTGGGCGCCTCTTGAGAGGCACTGCCAGGCCTTCGACTGCATTTTTGCCTTAAAGAAAGCTTCTCCCTAAAGTCATATGTCGGCCCTAAAATCTATATAGATATAGATAGCAAAGAAGGTAAATTTATAAGAGACAACTCGTTACTTTGAAAATGTGCCGCGCCGATTTTGACCGAATCTGAAACGTTTGCAACAGGAATTCATTTCCGTTTTGACTCTGTCCGTGGCAGATTTTTTATTTTCGCCGCGAATACGGAAAACACTAGCAATCGATTATGTTGCACAAGTGGTTGGGAAAATGTATTTTACTTTAGAAAATAATTAATAGGTGTAAAATATATAGTATTTGTGCAGATATGAAAGTCCATATTAATAATAAAAAGTGTTTGTAAGTGCAAAGTGTTTGTCAACAAGTGCCGATGGTTGGCGTCTGTGGATAAAACTGATCATTATTTTAAACAAAATCAGTTTACTTTTATATAAGAACGCATTAGTTTAATAAGAAATCTATGCATTTATATATGAGTGTACTTATGTTTTGTTTTCATCTAGAAATTTACATATTTAAAGTGAGCAAAAAAAGTTATGTTTCGGGCGATTTGATGGATAAAGTGTTTTTTTGGCAGCATATTAACAAAACTAATCTTAATTATATACAAATTGCATTAGTCCAACATAAAATCAATGCATTTGTGTATAAATTTACATACGTTTTGTTTTCATCAGGCAAGAATAATTTTTTCCAATTTTTTGTTCATATTCATTCAAAAAAATAAACGCGTAAATGTGAAACATAAGTTGTCTCCGTCTTACATCTTCCGCTGAAAAGGGTTTAGAAAAAAAAGAGGAAATTTATTTTCCGGTTAAAAAATTTTGATTACCAACGCAGAATAGGTTAATGTACGATTTTGTGTTTGAAACTGTAACAACTGTAAACAAATCGTGGGCGATCGGACAATTTTTTTTTTAATTTATGACCGAAGCTGGTGAAGGCAACCTTGTTGCCAAATTACTTTAGTAATAAAACCAATTAATAATTTGAAATTTGGAAGGAGCACTGCGATTTAGAAATTTAGAGAAATAATGACTTAGATCGAGATAAGTTATTTTTGCAAACGTCCTAAGATTTTACTGCGGAGTTGCAATTTTTCATTTGACTGGCTGTGATTTCTTCAACTTTACATTGTAGAATTTTTGTGGCCCTCGCGAAGAAATTGCGCTTGTGGGCGATGAGTTTGCGGGGAGATGTAATGAGTTGGAAAAATATGCGCATGCGTTTATGAATGAAATTGTTATTGTTGCATTTTAGTCGCATATGCGTATATGTACATATTGTTACGATTATCCTTGAAACCTCGTCCGGATTTCCCAAATCTCTCGGCTCGTATCGCTGGATTGTTAAATAAATGCAATCGATGACCAAATTGTAGTACAATTACCTTTATTGTACAACAAACAATTTACAATACTCGCTAATACAGTAAAAACACTTCACAATACTTGTTAAAGCAATAACAGCGCTTAACTAAACTTGATAACGCAATTAAACTTATGTCTTGCTTATTCGCAACTCACTTCTCTGCTCACTTTACTTGTAGCTTGCTGTCTTGTAACTCCCCACCTCGCTGTGGCGGCGTTCTTATATACCTGCGCGGGCACTTATGGTAACTCTAGAACATTCTGAAGATGATTCTGAAGTTTATCGCTCATTCTCTTTCTCCCGCTGTTCGCAGTGTTCATCCAACTTGACGTTTCTCTTTGTGGAACATTCTACGTCGTTCCTCGAACATCTGCCTATTTCTCGTTGTTCGCTTTGTGTTGCCGCAGTATTCGCCACAATATGTACGTACATTTGCATGAATGTAGATATGTTAGGAGGGAAATAGCAAGAGTACATTTGTACAATTTGGCGAGTCGCGGCCATCTTTTTTGTAATTTCATTTCTTTATTTCTATCATCGATCGCTCTTTCTTCGACGCTTTTTGTCGCCGCGAAATCAAATTTGCGGCGAATTCATTTACGAAATTTGATGTCAAAACGGAAGCGAGTTCCTCTTGCAAACCTTCTAGACCCACTCGCCAGACTTCAGCGACTTGTCTCTTATAGATTTATATCTATCGATTTACGTTCTGACTCAGTCATAATTTTCCTACAGGCGAATTATTTGGTCTGTGAAATCTCTCAACGATCTGACAACGCCCATGTGATAAATACCCAAAAAATTCCTCCACTTAACGTTCGTTAAGTTTATTGTCTTTTTGACAGCAAAATCAAAATGGCCGACACCCAATTCAGCGTCGCCATGACGCATTCAGCCCACTGCAGTCAGCATAGGGACGTTTGGTAAAATGAAATAGTCGGGTGGCTGAGAACGTGAAAAAGTTCATTAATTTCAGTTCCTTCTTCAATTGCCTGTGAACCAGATGATTAAATTGAAAAGGGGGGAAATGGCGCAAACTGTTAACACAACGCGTGGACGATTTAATTAAGCAATAAATTTGACTAAATCAGTGAAAGATAATTGAATTTTAAATATTTAAAGTGTTTCAAAAGTGCTCCTTTAGAAGAGGGAATTCACAGACAACTCTAAAGTGAAGAAAAGTGCAGTGAAAAACCCGAAATAAGTATCAATTGAAATGCAAAGATGCAAAATGTATGAATGAAAAAAAAAAACTGAATGTATTGAGTTAGCAGAATCGGTGAGGCCACGATCCACGATGATACGTGAACCGAAAAAGTATTAGTTAAAGCAAGAATCGAGTAAGGCCAAAGTGAAAATTGAATAATATGTACAGAAAATATGAAAAGGTGTAGAGTGTGAAGCAGAAAGAATCAAAAAGTATTGAACCAAAGAATGGTGTACAAGGGAACAGCTGAAAAGGCAAAAGTGCAAAACGTATTTGAAAGTAATGAAAATGTTGAAAAGCTAAAAAATCAACAATCAGACAAAATAACAATAATAGCAACAACTACAGTAGACAGCAGTTATAGTAAAAAGTATAAAGAATCCAAATCAATTAAGTGAAACAGCAACAATAGCAACAACAATCGCCATATCGACGAACGCGACGCGTATGCTGACGCTGACGCCGACGCTGACGTTGACTACGTGCACACAGTGCGACAAACGCTGCTGTGAAGTTGATAGCATTCTTCGAAGTACATACAAAAATTGCTGAAGAAGACGAAAAGTGGAATGTGGAAATGAGCGATTAGGTGAAATAAAAGAGCAGCGGAAATTCATTTGAAAAGTGCTAAAAGTAACAGATAAGGTGGGAAACAGCGACAAAGCATAGCCAAAGCAAGCAACCAAATTGTATTTCTATTCATTTTTACATCAGGTTAAATTTATGCATGCGTGTGTGTGTACACGTGTGGGAAAAATAAAAAAAAATGTATTCACAGAAGTATAGGAAATCCACTAAAAGTTAGATTACGGGTGGGTGAGTATGTATTAAATAAATAGACGAATAATAAATAGTACGATGAAGATTGGAATTTAACCGTGTCGTTTGTTATACAATAAATGATGAAAATACAGTTTGAAAGCAAAGCGCGTGCAATCACTGAGTATGTGCAAAAAGCGATTAAGCTTTTAACTACTTTTAATAATATGTACATACTTACATTTTAAGAACAAAGTGGAAAAACTGCAGCTTTTAAAATATGCAAGTAAAAGAGAAAAAATGTTAGTAAGTACAAAATAATTGCAAATATTTGTTACGCAAGTTGAATACAATGGTGAATTGAGCAACACCAAAGTAACATTAACGAATTAATAATGAAATAAAGGCCATGAGTACATACAAAAAAGTTTAAATAAAAAGGCGTTTTCTATGCCTTTGCATGGCGACATGTGGTAGATACGTGCGCGAAAGCTATAAAATGGAGTATGCTTATGAATTATAAGCAAACAAAAAAAAAATTAAACAGAGTTAAAAAATATTTGAACAAATAAAAAACCGGAGAAACTTAAACTTTATAAATTTATCTTGGTTAAGGAATGTAAAAGTAGTTTATTTAAAACATAACTCTAAAAACCTTAGCAATTAAAATTGGTATATCGCTATCTAAGTGCAACAAAAAAGCGATTTCATGCAAATGCAATCCTATATAAAATTAAATTAAATTCAAAAAGTTGTTTGTCTTCCCTAGTAACAATAAATTAAATCATGTTAAATTTGCTAATGTTACAAAATGGCTTAAAGCTGACACGCGCATTATTAAACACAAGGCAGCTTGTGTACTGCTACAACGTACAAACATTTAACATTGAAAGGGGGAAAATATGCTCGCTATTTTTATTGCAAAATAAAAATTATAATTAGCGTGAAAGCGTGAGAAAGTGTGTATACGCCGGTGTTGAGCTGCAACGTGCAAAGTAGAAATAAACGCGAACGCGGCCATCAAACTGGAAATTTAAAGCAAGCAAGCAAGCGAGGTGTGTATTTTTACATAAATGTATTACATTAGGGGTATTCTCTGAGTCTTGTAAAGCCTTGGCACTGTGCACGGTGCACGGATTGCACGGTTTG